AATAATGGACTTCCTAACATATATAACACAAAACGATTGACTGTCACAAATAATGAATGAAATGATAAAGATTTTATATTATAAAAATGATGAAAGCACAAATTGTTCTATTCATGTGTGTCGATTTGAGTATTTTACCTAAAAAATATAGAAATGATGTTCAAAAATTAAATTTTATTTTTTTATATCAATTAATTTCAAAATATACACGGTATCAATTATTTGTATTGTGTTTATATACGTAATGGCACTTGTGTTTTTTTCATAATAATAACGACACTTGTGTTGTTTTCATAACAGTAACGACATTTGTGTTATTTTCACTTTTATGTTGATTAAGTAATGAGGGTATCTTTCGAATTTTGTAAATGTCACGTTCATCTTGCAATTTAAATGAGTTCAATTTATAGAATACCGACTCGGACGGTTAGTGGCCACTCATACTCCTGTTTATCGAAAAAACGACACACGTGACCAATAACGGCACTTGTGTCGTTCTGTTGATTTCTCCAATATTTTATTTCATTTTCATCGCAACGACCTCGAGCATTGGACCGCATACCTTTAGAAAATTAGAAATGTTGATTGTATGACAAATAACGGTGGAATTGACATCAATTATAGATATTAAGTAGGTGAAATCACATTTCACTATTTACATTCGTTAAGAAAACATAATTAATGAGCGTAACTCTCAAATTTTATAAATGGTACGTCAATCTTGCAACTTAAATGAGTTCAATTTATCGAATACCGAGGTTCGGACGGTTCGTGACCGCTCATACTTCTGTTTATTGACAGAATGACATACGTGACCCTCTGAACTAAGCTATCTCGTTATTGGCAAAATTTGGTTGTTTTCCGTCTTTTGAAGTTTTGGCTTGATTTTAACTGAAAATAGTCAAAATGACTTTTTTGGTGTTTTCCGTTTTCTTTGTAAATTTTAAACTCGTTTTTCAAAATTCGTTTATGAAAATTGATAAATAAACTTGTTTTCGGTGTTTTCGAAAATTGAAAATGATCTCAAAACAGCAAAGATAACGTACCTTAATCTTTAAATTGTCACAAAAATAACATTATTGATGCATTATCGTTGACAGGTTATTGTTAAGTGATTCAACATGATGGTGGGAAAACATTTTAAATTCAAATTCATTGTCACTTGGTTATCAAAATAGTGTGCTCGATAATAATTAAAAAGTGAATTCAACTTGTACACGTAAATAAATACATTGAACTTGAATGTAAAAATATAAATAGTTAATTTTCTTTTGTATTTGAAAGATTAATAAAACTTTTAAACAAGATGATACAATAGCCATAATTTAAGCCTAGCTTGTGGTTATAACTAGCTTTGTGGAAGATATAAGTTCTTGTCATTTTCACCAACCCATAATTAAAGCAAAATAAGTTTTATATATGACTTGAGTTGCTCTTTAAATTATTAAAACTCTATAGTCAAAAAATTGCTGCCCAAAACTTATTCTCAAACTCATATTAAACGTCTAATCACGTTTGACATATCGATAAAGAATTTATTATAAAATTACAATGTTTACTTATAAGTAGATGATATTCGGTGGATTAAGGTGGATAATGTTCTTTAATTTTTTTATTAAAAAGATAGTCATTTATGCTGATAACCGTATAACCAAAGTTTGGTTGTGATTAAGCCAAAGAAGACGCAATATATAACATTCTTTCAAATGGAAAATTTTATAATATTATCCACCTCGATCCACAATAATATCCATTATAATTTCATACGACATTTTTATACAGCCAAATTCGATGTACCAAACATGATCCCAAGTTTTACGAGTTCAAAAATATACATCTAAGAATCACCTTGAAAACAAAAAAAATTGCGAGTTCGAAAATATTCATTGAAGAATCACCTTGATAATATACATATAAATCTTCCAATCATGCAAAACAGAAAATATACATATAACCCCGACATAGACAAGCATGGAGTTTTTCTTGGTAGGGGGAGGGGAGAGGGATTTTGGAATTTTGTGCTATCACCTAAAATTTCATGTATATTTCGTATACAGTCATTGTGATGCTCACTGATACGAATGCAAGAAATTATCATTCAAACCTGTAATATTTTGCACGTGTGACACCGACGTTTTCTAGTGAGTCGACTTCATCTCCCCCAGGAAATTACCTCGAGGTATTTCCTTTGTCAACTAAGAATTGATCATTTTTTCTCGCCATCGGTAGCTGCCAAATTTTCTGACTAGTAAACAAGTTCATAAATTTAGCAAAAGAAATATGAAAGTAAATAAATAAAGAACAAAGAAATTAATCTTGACAAAGGTGGAACAAGAAGCAAACCAATACCTCTTCATCAATATCAGCTTTGAGGGCCATCTAAGTTTTTTTCAACGGAAGTCGCGGGCTCAACACACGTTGTGTGTTTTGCTTCAGACATTTCAACTTCATATGCACTAGTATTAGAGACAGTTCCATTCTCCGTGCTAATATTTTTCAGTTTTTCTAGGCGAACAGCACGAAGCTCATATCTGACCATTAGCATGATAATAACTAATATTAACACGCAGCTCAATATTTAATCAATAGCAGCATCGAAATGAATATTTTCGTAATCATATAAATTACCAAAATGCTAAAATGTGGGGATTTACAATTTTAAAATAAACAAACGTTACTTGCATTGCTCCTAGATTTCCTTTTAATTTTTATGAAATGAGCAAAGCTTCGAAATATTCTTAAGCATCTTTCTCCAAACATTGGAACAATGTCGTAATTTTATCAACAAGTTCATTTTTAGTTTTTTGTTACGGTTATGTCATTCTTTTCATCATTGACACCATCCCTTGTTTAGTTCTATTGAATTCAATGATAGGAAGTGCAAGACGGAGCTCCATTCGATATAAACTTCAGTTTTACCTTGTGAGATTTCTCTAATTCAATTAATGATACTTAGTACAAACATATATGCACATAATAAAATCAATAGATGTACTAAATTTCAAATTCCAATATTTTAGTAGTCTAGTACCATAAGAATTCATCTGAGAATTAATTATTTGGGCTGTGAAATACACCTTTTTCATGGGGAATTAAGGAAATATGTTTCTTTCGAAAATGGGCATATCTTGACAAGTCAACAATCTGAATCCAATAACTGGAGGCTCAGACTGCATCCAAGGATGGGTGAAGCAATCAGCAACTCCAAGGTTCAATCACATTATCTTAGTTTTCAATCTAAGAGTCAGAGGAGAAAGGGTTATAAGATGCATATTATTTATAGGCCCTGTTTGAGCCAAATTATTGTAGAATGAGAATGAAAAATATAGTCGTTATTGGAGTCCACATAAAAGATAGAAAATTTNAATATAGTCGTTATTGGAGCCCACATAAGAGATATAAAATTTGAATTTAAATGTTGATGTGATGGATAACGGTCATATTTTTCATTTTAATGAGAAAATAATGTAGATCAAACGGGGACATAATCTGTTCGACGAACATATATGAGACATCTTTAAACTGGCAGTCCCAAGAAAACATAGATTTTCCTAGGACATCAGATAAATATACTAAGAGTTACATAAAATGCCAGACGAAATACTAGCGGTATGGCAGAGTATCCTTTTACCAAAATATTTGTGGCATTAGTTACAAGTAGTTCCATCTGTTTTGTGTTTTTTGAACAAATCCATTCCTAAACAGTTCAACTCTTAACTCCGCTAGAATATTAAATGATATCAAAGACCTAAAGGGGAATAATTTCCATTCCCCCGAGAGTCTGCACCACTCCACAGTGAAGTAAATGCGGGGTTTGAAAGGGAAACAATGCTCGGAATTGCAGCTTGATAAAACAATATACAAATTATAGATGCAAAGTCAGAGAACTAACTCAATTATGTAACTCCTGGCAAGTGAAAAATATATTGTCCAAAACTCTCTCTCCTTCAAATAGTGAGGGCATAATCTGAACCGTAGTTGTGACAGTTCCTGGAAAAGCAGATCAAGAATGACTTATTAAGACAGAAAAATAATATACCTGACATCAATATATTCAAACCAACCATGAATAACAAATATAAGCCTTGACAATCAAGCTAGCATAAACAACAAAATATTTAGCCCTATGAGGGCAACAATATGTCAAGAGTAAATCTTATATATTTTGGAAAACTTGCACTATAAAATCATACCTACACTATTTTAACTTCAACTAGAGGACCCTGAAAATGTTATAATACTTTAGGTTAGATCCCTCTTATCTTAAATTCATCCGAGCTAGCTCTCTCTCTCTCTCACACACACGTGCGCACGCACAAGATGACAATGACAAAGGACCGTTGCGTACTAGGAATTAATGAAGCTAGTGACAAAAGAATAAAAAAAAAACTATGGAATATCTTGATTTCTAGAAACTTCCAGTTGCATCAGCAACAAATGCACGAATCACGATTTGATATGTAACATTTTCTGCGTAACGTTGCTGCAAGTGTTCATATTCAACTGTCCTAAAAAATATGTTCTTTAGTAGCAGAAATTATCATAGATTGGATCTGGTTATTTATCTCTGAGATTATTGTATCAATTGAACCAGCAATTGCACACATTAAACATGAGTAATGTTAATCAGTTAATTCCAACTAAATTCCAGTAGCATCTCTTCTTTTCTTTTTCCTGAATCTACATGAATTGGAAAACATCAACAAAATCTTTTGTTATGAAAAATCAGAAAGAGAAAACAAACCTTGACTTTGGAGAGAACAAGAATAGCATGTTTTTCTTGCCAATCAGAGAGATCCTGCCGTACATTTCCATCATTTCCACCACCATCAGCTCCTTCATCTGAACAACCATAAAACCAGTAATTGCACACATCAAACACACGCATACATGTCTATGCACAAAATCAGTATGTATACATGTATAAACACGAATTGAATACCAGGAAGAGAGAAATTCTTGAAGGTCTCAATAGATAAAGATTTGACGAATTCTATCAATTGATCCGTGATTCCATAAAATTGCGACTCTTCTTCTTTGATTAGTTCTTGGGACTTATGGGTGTCGATGGAGGGCAAAGAGGTATTTTTGAGCTTTGAAATGCTGCGTCGAAACCACGAGTATGCATCCATGGCCGCCTTCTCTACTGCGTTGGTATGCTTTATTTCTTTTTGGTGTTTTGGATTAGCCGCAGAGAGAGAGAGAGAGAGAGAGAGTTGATTTTGAAAAATATACACAAAATAACTCCTGAAAAGTTTCAACTATTGTAACTTTTTCCATAAATGAAAAATTAACCGAAATAATAATAATTTTCATATCGTGTTTTTCTATAAATTATGAAAAATCGAATTATTTTATTTTATTTTTCTAAAATTCAGTAAAGGGGCCTAATTTCCTTCTTTAAAAATCTGATAATAGAATTATTATTATTATTTTTCTTTTTGTTAATGTTGCTTAATACAAAGTGAGTCGAACCAATCTACCTTGTGAGCCAAAGCTTATCGAGTCGAGTTGACATATTCATCGATTTTATTTTTTCCTTGTATTCAAACATTCAAACTCAGAATAATTACAAATCGTCACTTGTATAACAAGATAGACCTTTGAAAAAGACTTGAAGGAGAAAAAGACCCATAAATACAAAGGTACAATCAATATTATAAATTAGTAAAAACAAAGATAACAAGATTAATCTTATCTTGTCATTCCATAAAATCTCGTCCCCTTAATCCTTGTTGAGAATAACCAAAAATAACGACTATTCTCGATCAAGATTTTGGACTACTGGATAGATACCATGGAGAAATATTTTGTAATTCTATTTCATTGTCTAACTTAAAAATATTTTTCTTCTTTGTATAGATATTGGCCCTGTTTGGGAAGGATTTAGATTTTTCTATAGTAAANAGATTTTTCTACAGTAAATCAATTCTCATTTTCAACCACACATTCTTCAATAAAAAATATTTTCCATCACATCAATAATTTTTTCTTCTTTTTCAACCACACATTTCCCATCATATCACTATTCAAAATCAATTCTTCCCTCCAAAAATCCCTCCCAAACAAGCTCATTGTCTATCTATTTTATCAAATACTTGATACTGCTATGAAAGTACATATCGAAACTAAATGAGAGAGAGAGAATCGGTATTTAATGTGCTTTTTCAATTTGTGTTCAATGTAAAAGTAAATGAAAAACATTGTGATTGTGACAATATTCTAACAATCGATCGAATGGAATCACAAATAAAGAAAGTAGGCCTTAAATTTATCGAATCCATTTACCCTAAAAATAAGAATGGAATTCTCATCATTCTAACTATTTGACAATATAAGGTTAACCCCAACTCATAATGCAAACAAGATTGTAATCAGAACTTGCAATGAAGCCAAATTATGAAACAAAACCACATTAATTTTCCAAGAGAAGAGAAGATAACAACAAATGTCGAAGAATCCCAGAAAAGAAGAAACATAACAACAAATGTTGAAGAATCAAACTAACCCCTAAATTAAAGAAAGCTTGGCGTACGATAACAAGGGGTTTTTAAAATCAAAGAAACTTATTGCATTCGGCAGAGAAACTCGACTTTAAGCTGACGATTTGGTATAGAATCGGACGCCAACAGCGACTCCCAAGATAATCAGAGGAACTAAGAATTGGAGGAGCTTGACAATGAATTCTGATGTTTTGTCCTGGTTGTAGTGAGGCTGCTTGGGAGGAGTGTACTTGGACTTACTCGGAATGGTTGACGAATCTATATCGCCCACGTAAAGTTCTTCCATCTGAACCCTTGCGCTGCTGCTGTGGCCAACGTCCTCAAAATCATCGGTTGCATCCTTTCCTGCCAAGAAAAAACCATCAAAATTATCCATCAAATCCACAAGACAATTAACATTTGGCTAAGCTTACAATGCTTAATAAGTCACTTCGTTGTAAGTAACATGCTCGTTGATGTAGACAAAAATCGAAAATATCACATGGTATTACCTGTGGCAGACAACAAAACTTCATCACCACCGGGATGGTCTTCCAAGAACTTTGTCACGTCATAAACCTATTCAGAGTATTACAATCATTTCTAACACGCGTGAGAAAACGCAGTAAAATACAGCACAAAAAACATGGTAGATTTAGATAGTAAGATCACACCCTTAAATGAAGCCATAATATCTTGTTATCAGTAAACAGAACTTTTTAAATCTAACTGCTACGTGATCAGGTGCTTCCATGTGTTATTTTCAGGTTATGCTCGTCTACTATATAGATATATAACGGAAATATCTAAAGTCTAAATGAGCAGACGACATACGTTGTCTCAAGATTAAGTACCAGCCAAATGCAGCTAGAATTTATTAGTATAGGATTAAGGAGTTAAACTTATGGACTTATGGTGATTTTACTGTGACAGATGAAGTAGTAAAGAGCACAAATTTCATTCAAGATTCCTCATTCTAACACAGTGAACAAAGAATTAAGCTGAGAACACCACAGACAAAGAAGATGGATTCGCTCACTCAAGTTGGTTTCACTCACTCGAGTTGGCTACAACAACAATCAGCTGTTCCATGAGAACAACTAAAAGTGCCAAACTTTGAGTAGTTAACATTAAAAGAAGTTTTGGATAAGACTCGCCATTATTGCCCTAAAATCTAAATACAGTCATGCTACTTGTATAATCTTTTTTTACAATTTTGGTTGACAACTCACACTTACATCACATTCATTCATTTCAAAGATTGTTTTTTTAAATCAATGGTCCAGATTTTGACAATATCAATGTCGTCAACCACAATTATCAACAACAATTGTACAAATAGGTTAATTCTTCTAAATAACAGATCAACAATAATGGAATTTCATCTAATTACGCGATACCAGATGGCTATTTCCAACATAGCATCACAACATATTTTGTATCACATCCTGAGAATCCCACGTGGAGTTTTGCTCGTGTTGAGTGGCAATAAATTTATAATACAAAACCGCAAAACTTTCAGGTCTATAATCCCTTCAAGGCATCAATGCAATGAATTCTTGTACTTAACTAAGTCCAATTTTTGGCGAATCTAAACAACTAAACTACTGATTTTCTAATAGACAATTTAGACAACATTACATTATTACTTCATCACATACAGATTCAAACTACAGAATGGTTAAATAAAAAATACTGAATTTTCCAAAGAGCATGAGAATTGAACATTGTACAAGTACAGAGTGTAAGTCAAAATTAAAATTAATTTGCACAAAAGATACAATGATATTCATAATAATCATAATACCAAACCAATTAAAAACAAAACTCTACATCAAGAACTGGTCAAGATTGAATCTTGATAGATCTAGCTATGAAATTCCAAAACAAAATCCAACCCATTAAAGTATTTATTAAAAGATATAAACTTCTCATTAAAAATCATAATAATTTCTTTACCTTGCCATCAATGACAAGCCAACAGTCCTTCGGGGTGTTGTGCTCAGCAACCTCAGCCAAAGTAAAAACTTTTCCCATTCCTAACAAGAGGGTTTTGATGGGAAAGTTTGGGCAGAAATTATAGAGCAAATAAGAGTGTGGAGGGAAGTATATTGATGGGGGGGGGTTGGGTTGGTGAGGCAGATTTAAATTGGATTTGTGGTTGGTGGGAGAGGAAAAGAGGGGCTGTCAAATGTAGGTATCAACCAACAATTGCAGTTGTTGGTGATGCTATTTATACCGTCTTTTGTTCAAGATTTTGTCTCCATGTCCCTATATTCTTGTATAATTTCTCGTTTCCCCCAAAGGATCTTGAAGTGTTCTTGATTTCCTAAGTTCTTATTTTTGTTTTATCTAAGAAGATTGACTGTTATGTTCTAATAATAACAATAGAAGGGATATGTGTTATTGTCTTAACTCTTGATCATTGTTATATCTTGATAAATTTGATATAGTTCAAGCTGATATAGATGTTTGATGATAGAATATGTTACGCCTCATTTCTCCGAGGTCCAGGAAGAGGCGCCACGTAAGTGAAAAGTCAACAAGTCAAATAAAGACCCTATGAGGTCAAAATATGAAGAAATCAAACAAAACCAAGATTCTTTCGTTGCAAGGCTGAGGTCCATGCTGAGGCGCTGCCTCAAGGACGAAGCACTACAATCTTGGGCTGAACCACTGCCTAAGGAAATAAAGAAAGGAGCTGAAGCTCTCCACTTGGAGAACCACCTCAAAGGTCTCTCCAAGGCTCTCAAACTCATCTGAAACTCATGAAGTCGATGCTGTCTCTTGTAATAGATTTGAAGATCTATTAGAAGTATTTGATGTAACATTTGTAATAAAGTTTGTCAGTATGTCAGCCTATTGTATAAGGCGGCTGACCCTTTATCAATGTATTATTGCATGAATAGACAGTGATGTGATGCTATGACCTGGGAGATGAAGCCACGTGCTCCTTCATCCAACGGTCACCATTTCGGCTAGAGCCCTATAAATACCAACCCTTGTAACACTTAAAAAGGGGGATGATTGATTGAGAAAAGGAGAAGAACTCACACTTGAAATACATAATCACTTGGGTTTATTCTCCATCTTTTTTAGCATGTGTATAAGTGATAAATTCTTGTATACAACATAGCTACTCGAATATACGTTATATCTATCCTTCCACATATTCTTGTTTATGGTTACATAAATTAGTTTTGGTTTCAACCCGACAATCGATGTTAGCACGATCGCTTTTGTTTCACCCGTCGGAATTTGAACATTTTTGTCTCTCGTCGCAAAGTACCTCCCACGTCCATTTTCCTCATTGCTACCGTCATTCCGGTAGGATCGCACCGGAACCGTACTTGACTTGGCGCGAGTGAGCCCAACATCTGTTGATTCATTTTTTGGGGTCAACAGAATATGGTGATAACAATCAGGAGATACATGTTATGTATAGATCAAATATATATTCATGTTACTTTTTAATTACTTTTTCTTTAAAATTGAGAACGTGATTGATAAAATATATAGATTTTCTTGAAACAAATGTGGGGACGGAGTAGAACCTGAGGTGAGGCTCAAGAGGCCGCCGCCTCAAGCCCATCTAGGTGGGGAGCTCAATTTTTTTTTTTTAAATTCCATGTTTTAGTCCAAATTTTAGAGTGTGTTTGGTAGAAATTTTTGGGGGAAAAATTGNGAATTTGTACCAAACAGGCCCTAAAGAATAAAGCCTCAAATGCGTATTGCATTCTTCTGAATTCTGATTCTCCGGCCGAAAACCTAGAAAAACACTTCATTGTTGAGAGTTGAAACATTCTTCACTGCGGTCTCTCTTTCAAAAAAAATTTCATCAAAAAATTGGTATGATTTCTAATTTCTGTCAAATTTCAATAACCATGTTTCATATTTTAAATTTTTATTTGTTCATTGCATAACTCAAGCTGTAAAACATATGCATTGAGCATGCAATATCGCAAAAATCGGATGAACTTTTATTTAAAATCACCGTATTTTATATTTTTACGGAAAAGTTGACCAATTACTTCATGTATTTCGAGGGCGTTGCAAAGAAATTCGTGTGATGGTGAAACGCAGTAATGGCTTACCGTTGTAATTTTTCTAGTTTCATGAAACCGAGTTCCATTGTGAACAATGTTATGAGAATGGATTGGCCATATTAACCATTGAAAAATAAATTGTTGAACAACTCGAGTATTCAATATTGATTGATATTTTTGTTTCTAAAATCGTAAGACGAGTTGTATTTAAGCAACATTTGAAATATTTTTTGTATTATTAATTGATTGTAATATTTTGAATATTTATTCTATTTATTGTTTTTGTTGATTCTAAGTTAACAAATTTAGTTTCGTAAAACTCTTATAAATAAAAAAAATTGATTGTTCGCTACGATTTAGGAGCTCAAATTTTGAAGTTCGTCTTGGACCCTGCAAAACATGTGTACGGCCTGTGTGGGGACTATATATTTTTAGTTTATAAGTCTCCTAAAACTGCATATTGCTTGCATTTATGAACACATGGTTCTTTCCTAGCCGTTGCTCCTTCATTTTTTCATGTTGTGAGGACCATATTGAAAATAATAATAAGATATGAGATCTCCATTTTATTTTTTTCTGAAATTAATGGTGTCTTCATTCGAAAGCCAAAAGTTGTAACCTTATAAAAAATGAAATAAAATGTACCATGATTTTCTCGTGGGAACATGTCTGGACAAAGTGAAACTACTTTCTAGTTATGGTCTCTGTATGAGCTCTATTTTTGATAATATATTTTATCAAATTTTTTTTTTTTTTTTTAGAACGTGTGAGTAAAAAAGTATATAAATATTTTGAATTTACGTGGAAAATTATTCTATTGAAAGAATGTTTGATCGAAAGTGAATTTTAAGAAAAAACGAATTTTAAAAGATGAGGCTCGTAGTTCTTTAGTAGCTAAGTGAACGTTCAAAATGCAAATAGTCACAAAAAATTATAATACTTTTAGGTATGAAAACGACCTTTGTCCAAAATTCATAATTCCCATTTGAAAATAGGATCTCTATTCCCTCTTTTGGAACTTTACGATCATACCCCCAAGAACCGAATAATAACGTTCAGAATCGACGTGGCAAATATAATAACAAATTTGAAACAAAAAATATTAAATTAATAGGTATATTTTGATTTAGGATTATCATAGCTCACTTTTCACCTTGTACTATAGTTCAGAATGCTCATTGAGGGCAAAACATCTTCTTCTGTCTTTCCAAGCTCGAGAATCAAGCACCAACAAGGAATTGAGCACGTAGATAAATTGAGAAGTTAGTACTTGGTCAGTCGTAGAAGTTGTCTTTAAATTTAAATATGCTATTTAATTGAAAGAATTGGTAGAGCATAGATCCATACATCATATGCTAGAATGCAAATGCCAAATGTAGGTGCTTGTATGCCATAATATGCAATGAGAATCGAAGTTTTCTTTTTTGAACTTGTAAAGGATATTATACCATTCAGAATTGATTTTACTAAATTTGTTATAATTATATAATATTATAACTCTTATTGTTGTATATTGACATGACACTCTAAAGCGCTTGTTAAACCACCTAATTTATGAGAATAAATCAATTCACACAATTCATAAATACGTTTTCATTTTTTTTTTCTTTATGCATTCTCAAGAGACTGTTCGAATTTTAGCGAAGCAGCTCTTTGAGTTCAAGTTGATTGGTTGGAAGACCTGAAAGAGATCGTTGTTTTGGAGTGTGTGATAGACATTGGTACCGAATTTAAAGGATTAGAACCCCCCACACAAAACAAGATAACAACAGTTATTTGATAAATCATGACCAATGTAAGGTATATAAGCAGTGATTCCATATGTAGAGGTTAATCGTACTTCGATAACTTTACGTAAGGGAGAGTTTGATGTTTTTGGGGGCGATAATGAAAAAGTTGACAGACGATTCACTCTTTCTGTCACTCTACGTAAACGAACATGAAATATGAAAATAAACTTCATGTCCTAGCCCTAGTTGTGGTAGTGAATTCAAGTTTAATAATTAACCACTTTCTAAACATATTGTGTTAGGTGAAGTTTGTGAATCCAAATCAAAGTAAGCTGGATGGAATCAAATCCATTTGATAACAGCCCAAATTGGAGATGTTATGTGGGCCAGGTTAGCTTGTAGCCAATCAGATGGAATGTTTGGTCATTGGAAAATTGACACAAAAAGCACCAACATGGGACATTTAACGAAAGTAGTAGTTGTTTGTCAATATATTAAACTTTTGTTCTTTTTTTTCAACGAAAGGAGTGGATTTATCTCCACATCATATGTATATAAACCATTATGGAAACGTACATGTAGCACAATCGTGGAAAAATTAAATGGGGCGTAATGTATTTTGATTGAGCCCAAACTTTTGCTACTTCGATGTTTTTATAAATATCGATAAAATAATAATAATAAATAAAAACATGTGATTTTTGTGAGTTTTAAATATTTTTAAAAATTGACTATTGTTCTTCTACGAAGTATGTAATGTATATAGATGGAATTAAATTTTAAAAAAAAAATGAGAAAATGAGGTTCTCAACCCATCGAAAAAGAGAGATCTCTTTGGACCATGGTTGACAAAAAGAAAAAATAATAAGTAAAATAAATATAATCATGTGCATCTGGATTGCTAATTTCAATTTTTATTATTATTTTTTATTTTTTATATATCAATCTTATAGCATAGACCTTCTCACATGAAAGTCACAGGTCCTAAAGAGAATAATATGAAATGATAATAAGTAACAAGAATCGAGTAGTGTGATTTTTTTTCACAATGTTCAATGCATGCTAATTGAATAAAAAGCGGGGTCATAAATGGTTCCTACGACATAATTATTGACGTCACACATCAACTCGAAGTGTAACTCCAACGGTGCCACATAGGAGCCGAACCATTGTACTAAGTATTCAAGGTAACTATGATAATGTGTTATGAGAGAAATAAACCTTATTGTTTGTTTGCAGTTCTTTCGAAGAACACTTGGGGATTATTTAATTCTTGTGAAAGCGCTAATTTCGTATTATTCTTGACTTAGTATACTTAGTCAATTTTAACAAAATATTTTATAGAACCCACAACTTTTATCAAATTCTCAATCGCACATTTCGTCACCTTTTACAATTTAATAAAAATTTAATTTTTAATTGCACTAAATAAGGGCTTCATGTATTTTTTCGAAAAAAGTGAAATTGTTCTTTTCGTTAGCATGTACCAAACATGCAAATGCTAGGCACGCACGCAGAATCGTGGGATTAATTTCCTAAATGGTAACTAATTTTTGCCAAAAGTTCCCACGGGATCGCTAAATTTCAAATCTTCTCGTGGAGACGAACACAATTTTTGTCAATTTTGGTGATGATTTTGAGGATGCGATTTTATTTTCACAGGTAAGCAATTTCGTGTTTGGGGTAGGTGACTTGTGGTTGGTGTTAAGATTTGAGGGTCCATCTTAAAAGGTCAACCTTGTTAAGATGAGTAGCTCAAGATCTTTATAAATTGGTCTGTGTCAACATCATTTTTCGATGTGGGATATATATCCCTTAACACGTCTCCGCAAGATGGTGGCTCATTTGAGCAGACCAATTTTGAAATCCACGTGCTCATTTTAGAGTCTTAACGGGATCGAATCGCTCGTTGGANTATTCCCATATGAATCATGTTATATGAATTAAGATTTGAGGTTCCATCTTAAAAGGTCAACCTTGTTAAGAGGAGTAGGTCAAGATCTTTATAAATTGGTCTGTGTCAACATCATTTTTCGATGTGGGATATATATCCCTTAACAGTTGGAGGCGACTAACAGGTTCTCCATCATCGATTTCAAGACACCACGAGTCTCTCCTGGCTTGCTTCTTACCGACAATGGTGGGGAGCTCAATTTGGGGGAGAAATTAGGGTTTGCGATTTTGTGTGTTTGGGTTTGGGAATGATTGGTTTTCTTTTAATTCAATTGATTTCAGATTTTCTTTATTTTTTTCTATTAAAAACGTTTTCCTGAAAATGCAACTCTGTAAAATTTGTCTACATCATCAACAACTTACTTACTTGGCCAAGAAATTGTACACAAATGAGCCACATCACGTTTTCCATTGGACACGTCATCAAAACCGTCAACCGACGTTCACTTAGTGATAGATGGGATCCCGGTTTGCAAAGTTCAGTGACTATCTGGGGAAGATTTGAAGTTTAGTGATCATGTAGGAACTTTTAACAAAGTTTAGTGACCATTTAGGGAATTAACCCTAGAATCATGGTACCAAAAAAGGTCAGACATTTATTTATTTTTTTGTGGAGGAATTTCAGCTTTTAAGCTAGGAAACATGAAATATTTTCAACACTTCAACTAAATTTGCATAATCGTTGATGATTAATGATGAACATAGTAGAATTATGTCGTTTCTTTTAATTGTTTACATTAAAGTACTCAAATCAAAAGTTTCCTTGATCAAGAAGATAAGTTACGGAGCATAATTAAAAGCAAAAATCTAAAGAGGTGGACTCAATCATTTCTCTTTTGCTGTACTCACAAGTATCCTATGCACAACAAACCTTCTTTAATTTGCCCGAGATTTTCTTGAAAAAAATTGGGTTAGAACCTGGTCGACCGAGTAGTTCTACTGAGAAATGGATCTATAACCACGAGTAGACAAGATTTTCGATATTTGATCGACGTGGGAATTTTACCCTTAACACCATCAAACATCGATTACTAAAATTTTCTTGAGATGGCTTGGAAGTTAAGGGATTGAAACTTGAAGAGCAAATTTCATACAACTCTGCATGGCAACGGCCAATTATAGTACATTAGTACTACCATCATCAAACAGAATCATTATCATTAACACACCTAGACCCTCTTTGTCTAAAAACTTAAACGGTAATCTTATGTATAATTAAGTGACAGCGAGATTTAAGCTCACGGCATATTGAATCACCTCGTTTAAGATCTTGGAAAGGGACAAAATCATTTATTTAAATTTTGATAAGTTCTACAACATGCAAAGGTCAAAAATCACCTCCATTCTCTCCCAAAGGTCAAAAAGAACCCATTTTTTTCTTCTCCCCACCTTTTTCTCTCCTACTTATTTTCTCTCTCCTCTTGTTCTTCACTGTCTACTGCATTCTTGATCTTTTAAATGCATATGGTTCTATTAACAGGCCGTTCTTGAATAAGCAAAAGTGGGGTTTTTACAATTTAAGCAATCTGTTCCTTTTTATGGAGTTGATTCCATTTTTCTGGTTTAGTTTGTTATTTTTTTCTGGATTTGTTGGATTTACTCGCTGCTATCAAGATGGTATGTGTACGTTCAGTTTCCTTTCCTAATTTGCATTTTTTTTTTTGCAGTGCTCTTTGTTAAGTATGTATAGATTTATTGCCTTGTGACTGTTTTTTACACATTATTGAACAGGCTTCTTGAGTTTAACATGTGGTGGAACTACTAGTTATGTTGATTCCTACAATATCTCATGGATTCCTGATGGTGATTATACAAGTACTGGCGGTATAACCAGTGTAGAGGGCCCTTCTTCATCTCGTCTTCCGGTCCGATTTTTCCCCGATTCTCGAGGCAGAAATTGTTACAGGCTACCACCAGTAACAAATGTGCCATCCTTGGTTCTTGTTAGGACACAATTTGTGTACAAAAACTATGATGGACTTGGAAAACCCCCTGTATTCACTGTTTCTCTTGGAAGAGCCATGGTTGCTATGGTCAATCTCACTCGTAATGATCCGTGGATCGAAGAGTTCATATTTCCAGCCAATAAGGAAGTTCTGCCTTTATGCTTTCAGTCGACTCCGAACGGTGGATTTCCTGTTATTTCATCACTTGAACTTAGGCCTCTACCTGAGGGAGCTTACAGCACTGCATTGGGAGATTCTACTGATAAGCTACTTAAGAAGTCATATCGGATTAACTGTGGTTATAACGACGGTTCGCTAAGGTAAACAGAATAATTGATATATTTCATCTCTGTTTCTTGACTCAAATCAAACTCAATCTCTGTCTAATTTCGGGAAATTTGTTCTTTTGTAATGTAAGGTACCCTCTCGACCAATATGATCGAATGTGGGATGCAGACGAGGACTTCTCACCTTTTCATGTATCATCTGGTTTCGATGTTGAAAGTACATTTAATTTGTCGACTATTAAAGAAAGCCCCCCGGCTGTTGTTCTTCAAACCGCGAGAGTCTTGGCGAGGTGGAATAATCTGATATACAACCTGCCCTTAGATAATCAAGGAGACTACCATGTTGTTCTGTACTTTGCTGGAATTCTACCTGTTTCTCCAACATTTGATGTGTTAATCAACACGGACGTTGTTCAATCAAACTATACAGTTGCACATTGGGAGGCCGGTACCCTATTCTTTACAATAAGAGGAATCAAGAACTTGAGCATCACATTAAAGTCAATCAGCTACTATCCTTTAATAAATGCTCTTGAGGTTTATGAAATTCTTGATATTCCCTTAGAAACTTCTTCAACTACAGGTCCTGACACGTTTTTGTTTTTGGATTTTGATTTTTCTGCTGAAACAAATTGTTGTTTCTAGGACTAAAGATTTTGATTCTTCTTACAGTTTCAGCTCTTCGGGTTATTCAACAATCGACTGGCCTGGATCTGGGATGGCAAGATGATCCATGCTACCCTACACCATGGGAGCATGTAGAATGTGAAGGAAATCTCGTCACTTCATTGTACGTATGAACATTCTTTTCCTCGTTTGTCTTTCCAAGTGGTGTCAATATTAACTTCGAACTTCATATAGGATGCTTTCTGATATCAAGTTGAGATCAATCAGTCCCACGTTCGGCGATCTGCTGGATCTTAAAACACTGTAAGATTTTTTGGATAAGAATCTCTACAAACATGTGCTATATTATTTTCGTAGTTTATAATATCTTATTATCATTGCTCTTGCATCGTGTTTTAGGGACTTGCATAACACATCACTTGCTGGAGAAATACAAAATTTGGGTGGACTACAACGTCTTGAGAAACTGTAATCCCTCCTACCAGCAAATTTACTCAAAAATCGACTTTTTTCCGGATAATGTAATTGGCGTAATTTATCATCTGATCACACTGCAGGAATTTGAGCTTCAATCAGCTAACATCCTTTGGTTCTGAGTTGGATGATTTGATGAACATTAAAGTTCTGTAAGTCTTACAAGTTTCACACACACACATTTACACGGTCGAAGCCCCCCCACACGCCCAATTTGCATTCTTTTAGGGTGTGTTTGATGGATATTATTGAAGAAAGAATGTATTTTAAATAATGATACGATGAGAAATATATGGTTAAAAAGTATGGAAAAATTATTGATGTGATGAAAAATATTATTTTATTGAAGAATGTGTGGTTAAAAATGAGTTTTGAAAGAATGTATTTTGAAAAAATATGTACCAAACAGAGGCTTAAAAGGATTATACTTGTGTTTCATGTATGCAGGGACTTGAAGAATAATAGTTTGCAGGGAACAGTTCCTGAGAGCTTGGAGGAGTTGAAAGACCTTCATTTATTGTGAGTGAACAACATATTCATAGTACAATAATTTTTCCGAGTTTGCTTGTCCGAACACAATTTCAACTTGCTAAATAACATTTGGATCTTTCAGTTAAAACCTTGTCTGAATTCATATTCTATGAAATCCAGGAATCTCGAAAACAATAAGCTACAAGGGCCACTACCGCAAGCTTTGAACAGAGAAAGTTTAGAAGTTAGGTATGGGAATCAATTTGCATTCTTTTCAATTTAAGTTCCGTTTGGCAGGGATTTTGAAAAGTCAAAAGCTGCTTCGAGACTGAGATAATCCTTTTGAATCGTATTTGCAGAACATCGGGGAATTTGTGCCTCACTTTCACCACGATATGCAACGACTTTTCTAGCAATTCTTCAATCCAGCCACAAGTCACCATCTTTACTCCTAGAAAGCACAAGAGCCATAGACATATAGCGAGTCTACTTGGCGCTCTTGGAGGAGCTGTACTTGTTCTTTTCGTTATCTCATTTTTGGTAATCTTGTACATGAGGAGAAAGAGAACAGATTTCGTATATACAGGAAGTATGAGAATCTTCACAAACACTCAAAACGTGGAAACTTTCCATTTTTTAAAATATTTTTTTGTTGATGGACTGTTTTTTCAATGTTTAGGACCTGAAGTGGATATGAAAAACTGGAATGGTGCAAAAGTCTTCACCTATAAAGAGATCAAAGCAGCTACAAAAAACTTCAAAGAGACAATAGGCCGTGGTAGTTTTGGATGTGTTTACCTTGGACAACTTCCAGATGGTAATTCAGTTGCTGTTAAAGTACGATTCGATAAAACTCAGCTAGGAGCAGATTCCTTCATCAATGAGGTATGTCATTTTGTTCGATTATGTCGAGCCTAATTATATTGTTCAGTTTTCCCTCGACCGCGAATATATTGGGCATATTTCTTATGATAGGGGGATATTGGGCATTCATATAGGTTGACCTATTTTTCTATGCTATATAGAATCTGAGGGTGATGGTTAAACTTCTTCTCAAATTTTAGAGAAAACTTGCAGCGACGAGTGGATGTAGTTCTCACATTGATGGTGAACAATATGCACATCCATGCGTGTGTGTGTTTCTGCTTTTCGCTTTGTTCATATTATTCTCGGGTTTGGGAATAGTTTTAATTCGTAACATATTTAACCTTGATTAGTATATTACGTCATCAGCGCTACCTTTTCTTATCGTTTGATGCATTATTGCAGGTGTCTCTTCTATCACAAATCCATCACCAGAATCTCGTATCATTGGAAGGATTCTGCTATGAGTCGAAGCAACAGATACTAGTTTATGAATATTTACCCGGTGGATCATTGGCGGATAACCTTTATGGTATGTTAAAAATATTGCCTTTATCAAGTTTTTATTCACTCAAATTCCATCATGTCACATTCTGCATCTATTTACTATCACCTTTTCAGGTTCCAATAGTAAAAAAATAACACTCAGCTGGGTTCGCAGATTGAAAATTGCAGTCGATGCTGCAAAAGGTAAGCATTTTTTTTATTTTTTTCTCAGTTTTCGACTTCTTAGCTAACGATCATTAGACATTGAAGTAGTGAAACGAACATCTACACAATGTTCCTTTTGGCATAGGTTTGGATTATCTACACAATGGAAGCGAACCGCGTATAATTCATCGTGATGTGAAGAGTAGCAATATCCTTTTGGACGTCGAAATGAATGCTAAAGTATGTGACTTTGGCCTTTCTAAGCAAATGACACAAGCCGATGCAACACATATAACCACTGTAGTCAAAGGCACTGCTGGATATATTGATCCCGAGTAAGCAATACTTGACACGTAAAAACTTGACCAGTTAGTTATTTTGTTTGACTATGGTCGAGTCAACTGGACTCCCTTTTTAAAAATTTAAGTTTTTAGACAAGATGAGATGGTTTGATGGAGTAACCATATAATCATCGACGTGCAGGTATTATTCTACACAACAGTTAACTGAGAAAAGTGATGTCTATAGTTTTGGAGTAGTCCTTCTTGAGCTCATATGTGGCCGGGAACCACTCACTCATACCGGCACTCCAGATTCTTTTAATTTGGTTTTATGGGTAAGTATCTTACTTTCATAGTATTTTGGCCACATAAAATGCTCCTATTTTTTTTATTTTTTTCTTATTTGTATTGAGAATGTTAAGCTGCACGAGTCCAATTTTTCCAATGGAGTTTGTAGAGAAAATAATGAGCAAATTGACCGGGCTAAAGCCTACACCACCAAGCCCAAGTGAGGTTCCAACCCAAAACCAATTGGCAATGGGTAGAGTAGCCCACTTGGATTATATGGTGGATTTCTTTTCTTCTCCCAACCGATGTAAGATTTCTTGTGTGCTCCCAACAATCCTCCCCTCAAACGAAGGACCACATCATTGTGGCCTCCCCTCAAACGATAATACATTCGTCAATCATCTTGTACCGCTGTTATTATCTTCGCCCTCGACCAAATGGGACCCGCCGTTTGACCACCAATGTCAGGAAGACTTTCGACACAAGACACCTCAAACGCGAATGATTTTTAGCCCAATCGCCACCACGCTTTCTACTGCGTTCCTCTGACACTGGGCTCTGATACCAGTTGTAGAGAAAATAATGAGTAAATTGACCGGGCCCAAGTCCAAGTGAGGTTCCAACCCAAAACCAATTGGCAATTGGTGGAGTAGCCCACTTGGGTTATATGGTGGATTTCTTTTCTTCTCCCAACCGATGTGAGACTTCTTGTTTGCTCCCAACAGAGTTCTTAGCTTAATACACTTTTAAGCAGTAGCCAACTCCATTTTGAAGTGCTTTAATTCAACTTTTGACTCAATCTTCTTTCTGTCTACCACGTATATGTACGTATCATTTCCATTTTTTGCTCTTGGACATGTCGAATGGGTTGCCTTGTTAATAAGAATGAAAAGGGTATTAGTTAGGGAATCGTTAAAGGATTTAATCATTCTCCTCTTTGCGAAAAATTCGAGAAGAAAAGTACATGTATCTGAGTTCATATAGTTCGATAGCAGTTGAGTATAACAAGTTAACGACTACTTTTCTGAGTCTCATATTTCAAGAAACGCATGAGTACCCTCTTTCTACAAGCCATTTTTTAAGGTAAATTATGTGTTGTTCTTGTAGCAGTAGTCCCGTACCAAGAACCCCTTCTTGTAGACTGTAGTTGCTAACGGGCAATTTGGGGAGGAGTGGAGGACTACTTTCGGTAGAAAATTGATTCAAGAGTTGGATCTAAAAGAGGGGCGAATGGGTCATACATCGCTTGTGGAAAGTCAATCTTATCAGTTTATAAGCACGTTGGACACTCTCTCCTTGCACCTATCCATAACATGATTTCCCTAAGCAGAGACATTTTATGCTAATTAATAACTAGTAACCGAATATTTTGTGATTTTATTGCAGGCCAAGCCATACTTGCAGGCAGGAGCATTTGAGGTTGTGGATGAGAGCATTAAGGGAAGTTTTGATAGTGAGAGCATGAGAAGGGCTTCTTTAATTGCATGCACGTCTGTCGAAACTGATGCACTTCGCAGGCCAACCATTGCACAAGTACTAGCTGAGCTCAAAGAAGCCTATAGCATCCAGCTCGCCTATCTTGCATCTTCTCGTCTTATAAATTAATATTTTGTTCTACTGCGAGAAAACTTTTTTTATTGAGTGAAGTGACATCGGCTGAGTCTAGAGACGTAATTTATATGAATTATGCTACATAGGGCGAAAATTTGTTTAATTTATGGGGAAATGTAAACTTATAACCAGTGTTCTAAAAAGTATAAAGCGTGACTATACGTGAAAGCGAAATTTCAAACTTTACGAGCTTAAACAAGCATAGGCAAGGTTTAGACTTAAAAAAAACGTTTTCTTATTTTTAATATTATTTAAATTTTTAATTATTTTAAAAATTATTTAATAATTAAAATAATATATATCAAACATATAAAATTATAAAATACTAGATTTACTTAATAAGTCCTACCATTAGTGAAGTATACAATTTTCAAGTTTTCGAATTGCAAAAAATAGAATATTTTTCATAGTTTCAATTTTCAACTATATAAGTCATACTTAGTAGATTTATAGGAACTTCATACATGCTTTTGAAGTTTCAACAAAATAAAGAGTTTCAAGATCATAATTACATAATGTAGATAGTATCATAGTTTAAATCTTATTTAACTAGTTAGACAAAGTTATTTTCAACCTTTGTATGGATAAAATCTTTTAAAAACTTGAAAAATTCAAATGAAAAGGTTTTTTAAAAAATTAAAAAAAATTAATAAGCTAAAGTCAAATAAAAGACATTTTAAAAAAGGAAAAAAAATAATTAAAGAACTAATAAAACACGTCTATGGAAGGCGAAAGAATTGAAGGAAAAATTCAGCCGTTTACGAATTGGAAAAAAAAGTGTCTAGACGTGAAGCGATGTATTTTGCCCGAGTTGTTACTGAAATTTAATATGTTGCACTACATATTTATCCACCCATGTTTCATAACTTATACCCTCGTCACACTTATTCGCTGAATTTTAAAATACTTTCGATTGGTTACTAAACTTTACTTATTAAATTCAACTGTTTAAAAATCGAAAATTTTGAAGTATAACATACAATACACGGAGACGATGCCCCTCTTTCCTCTTGAATCAGTGTGTGACAACTCAAAAAATTATATTTTGTTAGTCTTGATTAATATTATTGACTTAGAAAATCTCACTCTGTTTCAAATATAGTTTTTTTATTTTTTGATTTACATTTATAATCTCAATCTAAATAAATAAATAATTTATCTATTTTTTTTGCTCATAAAAGAAAATTATGATCTAAATTAAAACTTATGTCAATTAGAAACTAGTATTCTTCTTTCTTGTTAAACATAATTTTTGACGATTAAAGAAATTATATCTTCTTGATCAATATCAATATTCTCATTTTAAATTGAGATTCTTATTATCTAGTTGATATTTATTTTAATTTATTTTCTTGATTTAGATAGAATCTCGTAGAAAATAAACTTTACTGGGAAACATTATGAAGTTCAGGGACAACTCGAAAATATTTTAAAGTTCAATAAGTAATGAAACATGGTGAATGTGGTAATGGAGTGCAACGTGTTAAAGTTTAGTAAATAAAACATGAAGTTCAATGGACCGTGCTAGTTGTACAATCGAGATTGACAACCACTCACATGGAGGGGTCCACTTATTTTTTTAAAAATTTTTTAAGCACGCGACCCCGTACACATGTGAGAGGTTGTCAACCTCGATTGTAATTATCCAAAATTTAACTAAAATTATAACTGATAGTCAGTCTTTCCAAAAGGATTTGTGCCTACCTCAAAAGCTGAGCATCTTGAATTTCTTGCAGATGGGTTCATGAAATCTATGGTCTCTCTTTGAGGACTAGGTTCGTCTACTTATTTCTACTGACACTTGCGATTTTTCATTTTTCAATCACGTGCAATTTTATTTTATTTTATTTTTTACAATTTTAGTTGACAATTCACATTGACAACTTCACATCTATTTTAAAAACTGTTTTTTAAATTAATAATCCAGATTTTGACATCAATGTTGTCAACAACAATTGTACTAATAGGTTAATTCATGCAATAATTCCAATCAAGAACGAAAGGTTTGTAAGAAAAATATTACACAACATCATTCTCAATCGCCTCAAGAGCATCTTAAGTTCAACAATCATACTACATGTACACTTCATTTGATATTAAATTTGATATTGTGCCACGTGTTGTGACATGAGTGGACAGTTTTAAAATAAAATACAATTTCCCTCCCATTTGCATTTGAAAATACATGGAGTGTCAAACTCCATGTCAACCAATTAATGTACAAGAAACTTTATTCTAAGTTGAATGCTTCAGAATCAAACCTAAACTATGAACAACCACAGCTCCTTTAACCCAATGCACAATCACACAAGATTATACAAACAGGATTAATTTAATTGGTAATTAGATCTGATCTTGGTTTTTCCATCCATCAGAGGGCTGATATTACACCTTGGCTGATCCAACGGCTGTGATAAATCCTCCCTTTTGTATTTATTAATATTAATTTGGTTATGATAAAATACCCGAGTGTTGAGATTATGTTGTTTTGAACCAATCATAATGGTTTTCTCAAAATTAGATTTCACAGTATCTTCTTCCATTGGCCCCTGCAACAATTGTCTAGCAATTCCCTGTATAATGATAAAGAAATAAGATGTGAAAGGCAGAGTGGTTGAAATTAAGGCTCTGTTTGAGAGCCACTAATTTCTTGTAATGCATTATAAAATAATAGATTGACGAAAAATGTGTGATTAAAAAATAATGAAACTTTCTTGATTTGTGCGTAGAATATTTTATTGTGTCCACGTGTGGTGGAGAACAGTATTGTAGCAAACAATTTAAAATTTTTAAGGATGGCAAACAGACATGGAGATGTCCGGTCATGTACGAGGACAAGGTTTTGAAGTCGAGCTCATCAAAATGTTGTGCTGATGAACATGTTTTAAGTCTCTATTTGGTACATATTCTTGAAATTTATTTTAAATTAAATATTTTCTTAATAAAATAATTTTACACGTGGACCCATAATTTTTTTCTTACTTTTAATCATACATTCTTTCAAAAAATAAATTTTTACAAATATTATTATTGAGAAAAATCTACATCAAACATACTTTAAATGTCAAAATCCAAAAAAGATGGGACAGCCTGTAAAATTCGATTTCCATCAAGAAAATTTCAATGATCTCTCTCACCTTAAATTGCAAAGTAGCGTTGATTGCATAACTTACAGTCTCCCAATTGGGACCCAAATCGTGTACATGAACAAGAAGTACCCAAAAATTCTAAACCAACATTAATAAAGTAAAATGTAAAAACTGAAGAATCAAATAATGCAAAATGTACATTCATTGAATTGACATCCCTTTTGTTTTAAAAAAATTGTGGACGAGAAAGGTTTTTTTTTTTTAAACTGTCCAATGGTGTGTTGCAACGTAACACAATGTAAATAATAATATAAAAGATGATATACATGTAGCATGATTTTTACTGCATTCCAACAAAGACGTAGTCAATTCAGACTCAAAAAATTAGGTGCCATGCCCTACCTAAAACCAAAAAAAGGGTACACTAATTCCTACTTTTGACCACTACATGCATTCCCTATAACATGTCGTGTATATGAATACGGACCATTTCCTGAAATGGAACAAACATTCCACACGGAAATCGTATAGGAATTAGTCATATAGCAATTCTTTTTCTTTATTGACCAAAGAAATGAAGACGAAAGAATTGTGATGTCTTCAATTACGGAGAATCCATGATAGCATTATTTGACGTTCAATAATTGATAAAACACGAACGTATAACAAGAGCGTAGCAGCCTAGCAGGGTCACGGTTAATTTTAATATTAGTTTTATTTATGTTATGTCAATATTTATGTCTTTGATTTTTTAGTTTAAGAGAATCGGTCGAAGCCATTTATTAAAGTAGAAGTACGAATTGATTGGTCAAATTGTAATAAAATGAAATTATCTTACCTACAAAAAAATAAAATAAAAAATTTACCCCCAAAAAATGGTATCCAATGCTTCAAGGCAAAACCCAAAAATCTTAAAATAGGACGCAAGTCACTACCTTTGTCCACTACATATAACATATTCCCTTCCATTTCTTGGCCCATTTATTGAAAGGATCTTGTTATATTTACATTAAGATTTATATAATAAATTATATAATACCGCATGAGACTCTATCATCTGTCAGTTTAAAATACAATCAACTTTTTCATTCAATTTTTTTCTCTACATATCATATTATGTAATTCATTATGTACATTTTTTTTATGTACAAGCAGCAAGATCCTTCTTGAAATGGAACGACATTTGATGTGGAAATCACATGGACATGCAATGCGACAAGTAATTATACAATTTCTTTCCCTTTTTACCAAATAAATTATATGATGCTCGATTATTTCAATTTTGATTGAAAAAAAAAAAAAAATACCATGACAACATTATAATTTAACGCCACAAAACCCTATTAGCTCGATCAAGACAAAATACAAGACAAAACCTTCTAAGATAGTAAGTTTATGTTTGGGCTCTATTTTTTTTTATAAAAACTCATTTTTTAACACTAATGTTCAACTATACATTTTGTTATAAAATAATTTTACACGTAAACTGAAATTTTTTATTTTAACTATATATTCTCTCACTTG